TAAATGAATTAATTTGATAGCTTTATGTTTCTTTCAATTCAGAATTTTTCCAAGGTCTAGTTTTTAGTTGTAAACTTGACTTTGAAATATTTCTGTTGGTTATCACGATCAAGGGTATTTGAACTCACTACTGTGTCGTGCTGCCTAAGGGGGTGGGGGGTGGGCAAAGTTAACATATTCATCGTTGACAGTGGTTAAATATGCTATTTTAATAAAATATTGAAATTCACTTTCAGTTTTAAAAGGTTGACTGCATGGCGCATTGTTGGATTGCTAAGAAAAACGTTGGCGATTTTAAGAAGAAAATTAGGTTGGTAAACTGTCATGTGAGTGAAGAGGAGGGTATTTCCCTGCTCGCTCGGACTGGATCTGTGCATGTCACATAGACACGTGTGGAGGGTCTCCCCTGCGTTTTGGGATGGGTGTCTGGGCGTCACAGCCTTCACATGCAGGGATAAAATGGTCGCACAGCCTCCGCAGTGACAGTCAAGGCAGACTCAAGCAAGGTGAAATGACGCGGAATGTACTGAATGTAACGGCACACCCCTGGAGACTGAACCCAGCTCTCTGATCCAGGAGACTCAGGCAGGGCCACTCCGTGGGCACCCTGGTGCACCTTGCATCACTGCCTGGCATGGGCGGGCGGCCGCTGTGGGTGTTAGCTCTAAATTCTGCATGAACTTGACTTTGTTCTCAACCTGTTTGTCCTGTTGAGCGAATGTTGGTCGGACCATGCCCATGCGTTCTGGTTTGGTCTCATGAGAGAGACTAGGGAATCTGGGAAGTCCTTGGTGATTTCCTAAGGTTTCATTTGCATCTTGAATGATTTGTGTGCTCCCCACTCCCCCAACCTGGAATATTTTTTTCAGCTCCACTGTTTTTCTCCTCCTCTGTGACTCCAATGATATGGTGATTGTGTGTGTGCGTGTGTGTATTTATAGTTCCATGAGTTCCGTGTATTCTCTGAAGGCCTTGGTGTTATCAGCTGACCTTTTATTGAAACCCACAACTCTGTGTGTTCTAGGAAACTCTGGATCTGACTTAAATCTTTGCTTATAGTAGGCCTCCTCTGACACCAGGTGCATGCTCTAATTTATCAACGAGACATTTAGAGGAAATGTCTCTCAAAGTTGAGAGGAATGGGGTGCTGGATCTTTTTGTAAAGGCTCATCAGGGATGGAGAAGTGGGCATGAAAGTCACCATTATGTATACCTCAGTCTCATGCTTTTAAGAACTTTAATCCTCAAGTACAGAAATTTCTATAAACAATCAAGAAATATGCACACGCCCTGCTGGGAGCACTTAGCTCTGTGAAGTAGCCCATTCCATTGGAATTTTGAGCTAAATTCAGCTTCGCTAAGCAGCGGCTCGTGGGTTCTAGTTGTGCCCTTGAGGGTCTCAGCGAGCAAGACAAAGACTTCTTTTTCTAGACAGCCCTCCCTGTGTATGAACAGTCAGGTCACTGCAGGCATGACAGCCCCTAGCCTGGGTTCCCCAGATGGCCTGGCCACTCTCCCCCAGATGTCTACTTAATCTTGTCTTTAAAAAGATGGGGGCCATCTCCCATTTCTAATCTTTATCTTGTGTCAACATCTTTACATGGTGGGATTTTTGCCCTTTATTGAAGAATACATTTTATATGAAAATAGCTGGTTTGTAAAACCCTGGAGAATTATTGTGATCTGTAAAGGCAAAGTGTTTTTTGATTTAAAAAGGAACCCACAGAGTGAGGTGATAGGTTTGGGAAGCACTTGCCCAAGGACCTTCCACCAAGCTTGAACAAGCTCCCACTTGACCTGGCCTGAAATTCCCACCACTGGCCACAGTGAAAGCCTGGTCAGGGGGCAGCCAGCAGCCAGGGCCATGGCCGAGTAGAGAAAACATTGGTTTGCTCTTTGTGCGATGAACAAGCTCAGGAAAATAGATTGGTACATAAGGTCTACTTTGGAGGGAAGTGGACCTTACCTTGGTGAATTTTTTTTTATTATTATTAAAAAAGTTTTACCTTGGGAGAATTTATGGATGAACTGACATAGATGGTATTTGTCCTGGGGAGGAATAATATGTGGGAATGCCCCCCGATCTGATTTCTAATTCCTGTTCTGTTCTTAACTCACTGTGTATCCCAGAGGTGTCTGTCATTAAACCCCATTTTCCTCTCATGTCAAAATGAAACAGTGACCCATTTTCCCCTTCCTGAGTGTGGTCAGGCCTCACTCAGCATATATTAAAGAGCACTAACTGGCAGTTACTAACGCCATACCCAAAGCATGCAGAGAGATGAGAGGCCAAACGACAGAGAAGATAGACCAGATAGACCCTCCGAGAGGAGACAAGTGTGTTACATTAATATCAAAGGTGTATTCAGGCCAGAAGTCTTCTAGAGATAAGGAAATTCACGGCTTAATAAATAGTTCCATTCAATAGGAAGATATGATTCTAAATTTGTATATACCACATGAATTTTCATATGGCCGCCTTTGAAGCAGATTGACAGGTGTAAGGAAAAGCTGTCAAACCCATCAACATAGATTTTGTTATACTTAACCAGTAACTGGAATATCAAACAGGCCACCTTCTAAAAGATCAGTATGGAGATAGAAAGTGTGAATTGAACAGTGTGATCGTTGAGCTGGTAGACTTGGTCGCACCTGAGGTTTGGGAAAAGTGAGGAGCACCTGTCGGGTTGCCCCGCTTGGACATGAAGCTGACCTGAGTGCACTGCAGAGGATTAGGGCCTGGCTGCACTTTTTTTTTTTTTTTTTTAACCACAAAGCAATTGAGTTGTTTTTTTTTTTTTTTTTTTTTTTTTTTAAAGCAAGGCCAGTAAGATAATTAGAAAAATCCATACCCTTGAAAATTTAATAACACTCATAGGTCAGCTCATGGGTCAAAGGAGAAATTATAATTGAAATTAGAAGTCCTGATTATCTAACTTTTCACATCAAACTAATGGGGTACAATACCCAGCAGGAAAAAGTATTAAGGACTTTTCCTTTAAAGAAAAAAAAATAAGGCTAAGCTCTGTTATAAATGATTCACAGAAGTAGATGGAAGGGAACTGAAAAACATGTTTGAGGACAAAAGATTCATTATTTTAAAAGGCACAAATGAATAGAAAAGAAAATAATCCCAATTCATTTTATGACACCAGCATAACCTTCACACCCAATGTGATCAGAACAGGGCCAGAAAGAAAACTATGAGCCGGTCTTCATGGACATGGGTGCAAAAATGCTGAGCCAGTATTACTTGGCCAGATGTAACAATAAGTATCATGATCAAGTTAGATTTGTTCCAGAAATGCAATGGATTCAAATTAGAATTTTATTAATAGAATTCATTGTAATAAACTGAGAAGGAAAAGTTATCTCAATAGATAAAATACAATTTGATGTTCATACAATATTAAAAAAATTCTTGGCATATTTTTAAAAATAGAAATTTTCTTAACTTGATGAAAGGAATCTACAAAAAAATTCCAGCAAATACAGAAGCATGACTAGCACTCCTTTTTAAACAGGGAAGCAACGATGCCTTTTCCATCACTCCTCTCTCCATCCTCTCTAACTTTGCATTGGGGATTGACCTGGCCCAAAAGTCAACAAGAAACAAAAGGTTTAAAGTTGGAATGTAAAACAGTGTAGCTGTTATGGAAAACATGTATAGCGGTTGCTTAAAAAAAATAAACAGTAGCAGTTTGCATAAAAAATTAAACAATTCCTTTCTAACCTAGCAGTTATACCTGTGGGTATATACCTAAAATAACCAAAACAGAGACTCAAAGATGGTCACACACCCATATTCATAGCATTATGCACACTCGCTAAAAAGTCTGAAGCAACCCAAATGCCTTGGCAGATGAATGGATAAATATAATGTGGCATGAACATGCAATAGAATGTTTTTTAGCCTTAAAAAGGAAGGAAAACTGGCACATGCCACAGTATACATACATGAACCTTGCAGACATTTTTGTAAGAGAAATAGATATGAAAGAAAGTTAGTGTGTGAGCTCACTTACCTGAGATACCTGGAATAGTTCATAAATACAGCAGGACGCTGGGTGCCAGACAGGGAGAAGAGATGGGGCATTGTCTTTTTTTCACCCCTAACAGTTAACATTTTGGGGAGATGAAAAAAGGTCTGGAGGTGGGTGGTAATAGTTGTATATCCATGTGACAGTACCTAATGCCATTGAACTGCACACATAAAAATGGTAAATTCTTTGCTCTGTTTATTTCACCACACATTTTTAAAAAGAGGCTAGGGTTCCAAAGGAAGAAGCAAAAGTGTTTATGTGCAGATGCTATGATTGTCCATAAACACTTTCCTACTAAGTCCAACTTGTTAATTTATTATTAGTACCTTTGGTTGTTAGTGGAAGTGGGTCTCAGACTACATGCAAAATGATCATTATTCTGAGAAAGAAAACCAGCTTCCATTAGACTGTCAGAGGGCCTGTGGCCCCTCCCCACCTTTCTCCCCTCTGCGCTGCTGGTGTGAATGGGCACCCTCCTGCCAGCCATGGTGTGGGTCCTCACACCGCCTCCCTTCCCTCCCCTCCCTGCCCCACTTTTCTCTTTCATTCACTTAGTGTTTAAATGTGATTCAGTGTCTATCCTGTGGTCGTTCTTGAATCATTGGAAATGTTTCAAATTTTTAGCAAAGTGAGGCTTTCAAATCAACCAAACTTCAGATTTTTTTTCTATTAATTTCTGTTTCCTGGATAATAACACTAAATAGGTCAGCCACAGCTCAGGGCCTGGAACCCCAAAAAGCTCTCAAAGACTTGTAGAATAATTAGAAACCTACACATCACATTCTGTAACCTCTAATAATTTGCAATAAATTTTCTTGCTGGTTTTATAGCTCGCATGGTAACGTGGATAAGTAGTCAAACAGAAGACCCAGCGCCTGCCTGGGGTAGCAGTGAGGATTCACCAGGGTAACTGTTGGGATGTGAATAGAGAGTTGTCTCTCAGATGATATTTGAGCTTCAAAAACTTTCAGGGGATGAAAACTCATCAACTTTATTTTCATCCAAATAAATTCCGAGACTTCTTTTTAACAAAATGCTTTATTGCTATTTTTAGCTGAAATATGTGTTGTTAGGGACTTGGCATGAAATATCAAAGGCATTTATATTTGTTTTGCTGCTTTTCTCCTGGTCACAGGAAGTGGGTAGAAAAGATCAGCTGAGACAAAGCATGACAGGAATTGAAGAGCGCGTGACATTTGAGGAGGATCACTGCGGGGTCCCGGAGCCACGCTGTCATGCTGTGGTTAGTAGTCGTCGTAGTTGACGCTGGCTCCATGCCTGAAGCTGTGCGGGCTCCGGGGACCGACGGCCTCTTCATCATAGTGACGCTGGTAGTAATCGTAGTAGTCATGTCCATTCCGACCTCTGTTTAGCCAGTAGTTGACGTCATCTTCAAATTTCTGGAGGAAAAGAGAACGACAGCGACCACTTCTCACCTTTGGCTTTTCTCTGGTGTTTTTTTCTTCAGTGATTAACCACCCTTCCTCAGAACAATTCCTTGTCAAGCTGTTCCTGTACTCAGGTCAACACAACTTGCTACAGAATGCTGGCCAGAACTACTCTCCAAGGAAATATATAACCACGCCTTTCAAAGTTGCGTCATAGGAGCCGGGTTTAAACATTTTCCTTTTTCAGTAAGTAAAATGAACATTTACCAAACACAGTGACAACATGGCCTGACCCACCCTACACATCTCATGGTGGTGGGCACTCACTGCCCTAGCTTCCTATCCCTGTGGCTCTAGGGCACACAGCTGATGCTTAATAAATGTCTGAATTAACTCACCCCCTGCACCAGCATCTTACAGCCTTGGGCAGAGTTTTCCTGTGGTGTTGGTGCAAGCATGCACACATCACTTTTTCATTCTACAAACACTTATCCAGGGGCACTAAGTTCCAGGTCCTGAGTTGGGCACTGGAGGGATGCCCAAACAAGCCAGCTGAATTCCCTTCTTCGAGAAGTCTGCAGTTTGCTGCGAGGCAAGATCCAGCTCTCCTGGCTGCCTTTGACTATGCAGGCACCTCTCATTTCCTTTTTCCTTTTCCTTTTCTTTATAAACCTTACCTCTTAAAAGATGAAGGAAAAAAAGCTGCAGCCTAACTTTTGGGAGAGACATGAAAAACAAGGCAGTTGCTGTAGAATAAGGAAGGAAGACTGAAGGTGAAGAAGTGGTGCATGATGGTCAGGTTTATAGTGAGTTTTTGTTATTAATTGTGCAGTCCTTACCCATGGGACACGTTGTGGGAAAGGCACCTTTAGGTGATCTTGTTGCATGAAATCAGAGTGTAATCACACAAGCCAAGGTGGTGCAGCTCGCTACACACCAGGTATCTAAGACCACCACCCTATATACAGCCATCGTGTTCACATGTACTAACTTTCATTGTGGTGAAGGTGCAAGAGGACTTGCAAGGATACATAACATGAGGGCAAAGAGGCAGAGAGAGAGCAAGAGGGCCTGGGGCAGTTGGAGCCTCCCTAAAAGTTTGGGCTTTGTGGGCCTCCCTGGTGGAACAAGGGGTTAAGTCTCTATAGCCACTGCAGCAGTTGGATTCCCCAGTCAGGAAGCTAATCCACATGGTGCAGCAGACCTCCTGTCTCACCTGCTGCTCCCCTCAGCAGTGTATTTCAGTGGATCTGCCTGTTCTGCTCCCCACACTGACTGGTGAACCCTCTCACCCCCATACCTCTGGCCTGTACCCCCTTCTTGTATGCATAAACAATTTTTTTTTTCAAGTTTGGACTTCAGGGACAATTTTCCTCCAACTCTGGTTAGTGAACCCGCTCATCTGAGGCACTAGGAATGTTACACATGCAAATTCACTGGCATCACCCCATGCCTCTTAGATCAAATTTTACGGTGGCTGAGTCTCAGAATCTATCTTATTGTAATTAGAATACTGGTATCTGAGCACGCCATGAAGCTGGGAGCCCCTTGTATCTGCTCAGCCGGGGGTCTTGCTCATTTCTTGAGCCCTTCTCAGTTCTCTGCCTTGGAAGGAGTACTTAGTTTTCTCATATTACTGCATTTTTTCCTACCGTGAGACAATTTTGTTCCTTGTATTCTCATTTTAAAATCTTGTTTGAGGTTTTGACTTAAAATGTATTTGTTCAGCAATTTTTAAGTGTTTTACAAATAGAAATTATGCAGGCATTTTTAAAACCTACATCTTATGGGGCAGTTTAAAGAAAAGGGGGAGAATGCCATTGCCAGTGACAACCACCACTGATATTTGGGTATTATCCTCCTACTGTTTTCCATGCAGATATAATTATCTTATTTGATGCTTACCTGTATCCTGGTTTTGTCACCAGAGATGATTTTAACCATTTCCCCTGATAAACGCTTCATACCCACCTTCATGAACTATTGTATAAATGCTGGTAGTTAAGATTTGCATATCATTGAAGCACTATCATCTATCAAATATTTCACTTATCAAATAAATATACTTTTAAAATAAGTTGTCAATGAGTATACCAGATGCTAAAGTTTTGAGAAAAATGGTGCTCTCTTCCATGATTTAACTGAGCATGTAAATGACAATACCATAAGACCCTGAAATGTGGTTCTGTCTTTTGCCCTAGGAATTCCGCTGGTCAGATTGTAAAACTAAGCAAAGCACAATCTTTGTACAAGGATACAAATAACAGGACTGTTACTTGATTTGTGAATGTTAAGTTAATTCATATAAACACTTAGAATCGTGGCTGGCACAGAATTTGGCTATAACCATTCAGCTATTTGCACATAAAAAGATTATATTTGAGATAATCAGGGAACAACCCATATGTCCAATGGTTAGGAATGGAAAGGAAATCATGAAAAAGCTACAAATGATTTCATTTTCATGCAGCCTCTAGAAATGCTTAATTAGTTTTCTCACCAAATGCAGCATTTTATATATACCTCTGTTAGCAATATGAATCATGGGTCCACTGAAAACACTTGCTGCTACCCCAGCTGCAGATGCCACCCTTCATCTGGTTACTGGCTGGGCAGCAGACTGGATGTCCATGCCAGGGTTCAGAGAGCGAGGCTGCTCCTAGGCCAGGTTCTTGTAGCCCCACTACTTGCTCTGCAGACCTGTGTCTGCGGGTGGAATCTAACCGCTTTCCTGTGCTGATGTCACAGCCATCCCTGCTCCAAGCGGGGACTGTGTGATTACAAGTATTCCTTTCCCTTAATTTACTACCGATGCTCACTCATGCTTCCTGAATATGTGATGGAACTCTCCCTGCAAATGCATGGACACATTTTCCCAAAGCATCTGCAAAGACCCGTCTTTCTTTAAAAGTCACTTTTCATCTCTATTATCCTCATAGGTTTTTTCATCAGTCTTGCAGTTAGTGACATTTCTTGTGGAAAAGTTGAAAATGTTTTGGGGTGGTTGTAAGATACTTAAAAGACACCCAAGCAAAACATCCATTAAGTTTAATAAGTTCTAGGAAAATTAGATTCTTGATGAATTTAATTCCCGTTCATTTGGGACACGTTTTGGGAGACATTCCTATTTGGGCCTAATGTGATGGAAATTTCCAGCTGATGCCCATCTGTTAATGGTAAGGTAAAGCAATGAGAGCACGTGGCATAGAATGGAGATTCGTTCTCTAGGAGAGAGTAATGAAGCCTTATTTTCTGTGCCCTATTTCCCCATTTCTTGCCTCTGTCCCCTCCACACTACCCCACTGGACAGAACACTCACCGCCTCGTCGAAGCCCATGTACAGGAACTGCTGGTACCACTGCTGCACCTCTGGCCGGCTCCGGTCCCACAGCTGCCGCTTCTGCCGCTTCAGGCCGCTTAAGAATTCTTTGGCTTTGTTCTCATCAACAGCCACTTTTGCCATTTTAGTCGGAGCAGGTGCTGAAATGATTAATCCCCCACCCCGCAAAAGACAAAGAATGATTTATTTTCTCATTGGCGTAAATCGCTGGGCTATCTCCCACCTGCCAGTCCCATCATGCATGAGATGGTAGTACTCTCAACTTCATTTCTACATGAACTGTGGTCATCAATCTCCCATGCTCCTTGACAGGAAGCACTCCTGTTTGGGTGCAGCCAGATAAAAGGGCACAAGCTCACCTTCAACTCTGAAGGCACCGGGTAGAAGCAAAGCCGTTCATTTTCTGCAGCCATCCCCTCTGCCCAACCCAGGCCCATGAGGGGCTGCATTGGGGTACAGCCAGATGCCCGGGGCCACACAGCTGTGCGACCATTGCATATGGGATCAAGAGAGGGCTGTGCTTGCTTGGGAGATGGGGAAGGAAAGGAATTGGAGTGATGAGCCCTGGGAAGGGGGGGCACAATAATATTTATGCAATAAAAAAGTGCACCTCATACCCACAAAATGACCCTTTACATCTGCTAACCTTTTTTGTTTTTAAATATAGTTTTTTTTTTTTTACATTATTTTGTGCCTTTTCCATCACGGATGTAATCCCCGTGGGCTTCCCATCACCAAATCACCCCTGTGCCATCACCATAGTCCAGTGCATCCCCCCAACCCCCCTGTTTTTGATCCCATTCTCCACTGTAAAATGTCTCTGGCTGGCTTATAGTTGTTCATTATTCCCCCCACCTCCCACCCCTCACCCCCGGTCTTTTATGCTCCTGCTATGACATCTGCTAACCTTTGAAGGTGTGAACACCTTTGATTTTCCAAATACAAGACTCCAGAGAACACATTCAACCTCCTACTCCATTTCAAGAATGCAACGCCGACCCACCCCATGTCCGCTCACCTTCCCGTTTTTGAAGCATCAGTCTGAGTTTATTTCCACTTATGCCATCTAAAAGAACAAAAGTAGAAATCAGTTTTAGGGTTGTGCTATACTCTGACTTCTCAAATACAAAAATAAAAGTCGGTAAAGTTCACTGCCTTCCTGTATTATGACTCAGCACCTGGGTGGTGATGGGTATTGAACCCCAGCTGCAGCGGACATGCAACAAAAGCAGTTCAGGGTGCTCAGTGGCTAAGGTCAGTGACGGAGTCATGACTGACCAAGGCCGCCAATGTTCAGGCTATGTCCTAGGCAAAGTGACATTGTTCCCTCGGCCCCCATGGCTTGCTTGAGGGTGACCATCTGCCCTGCTGACTTGGTGTAGGGGATTAAATAGCATCTCCTCAGTTTCATATCTACCTGGAATCCCTGCGAACTTATTTGGAAGTGGGGTCTTTGCAGATATAGTTAGTAAAGGATATTGAGATGGCAGCATACTGGATTCAGGGCAGGATGTCAGTGCAGAAACTGGTTTCTTAGTTTCTTAGGAAACTAGTCAGAGCCAGACAGACAGGAGTTGTGTGGACACAAGCCAAAGAAGATGCCTTAACTCTTAAAAATTCAGTCCAAAAAAAAAATTTCAGTCCAGATGTGTGGCTAAAAATCTTCCTATTAACCCAATCATTTCTTATTTTACAAAAGTTTATTTTTAACCCAATCATTTTAATAGGAAATAACATAGCTTGGTCTATTCGAACAACCCCTTCATTTGGTGAATGGATTTGAGGATCTAGAGGAATCTCTGATTCTTACCTGTTCCATAAAATCATAGGGTTTGTCTCCTAAGGGGGATGGGAATAAAAGCCTGGCTCCCCAATAATAAGCAGGGCATCTTCAACCATAAGGGGCTGGCACCTGGCCCCAGGATGGAGACAAGGCTACCTACTTTTAGTGTCCGTTCATGGGCACCCCAGGACCTGCATTTGCATATCTGCAAGGCCAACATTTTCTGAGAGTAGGGGTCATAGCTTTGTCAGTTTTTCAAGGGTCTCTGGGACGTGGATAAAAACCCCTGCTTAAATCCCCCATTGTGGCTGGGGATAGAGAGGGAAGAGAAAACACGTGTAATCAAAGGCCATAACTGGTGACCCAGAGCTAAGTTTTATCTGCAGATGTGTTTTATTAGTGTGCCCAGTACTTACTAAATTTGAATTCAAAGGTCTCGGCTCAAGCCTGTCAGCATACCCCATGACTATAAATAACCACTTCACCCTGAGCTGCCCATGGGCATCTGAATGGAGAGCTACCCAAGTGCCTTCAGGGTAGATGTGCCAGGCCAAGGGGCCTGTTTGCAAAGGCTCTCCAGGGACCACTGAAGGGCGGGGGGACAGGGCAGAGGCGGTGTCACCCTCATATCTCCCCTGGGAAGCTCGGGTATCTGCCGGACAGTGACTAAGTGCAGCAAACAGCAGCTGATGGAGAATGCAGCACTGTCTGTGTTCCTGTCAGTCTTTGGTGATGTGATTGTTTAAAAAGCAATTGCAGTTGGAAGCTGCACGAATAAAAGGACAGCAGCTTGCAGAAAGAAGACAATTGTCCTGTCTCTGTCCTGTCACTGCTCCCATCAGACCAGCCTCTAGTATTTGGTTCAGTCACAGCATCTCACTTTCAGAAGGTCACAGAAAACCTGGAGTTGTGATCAGAGCAGAATCCAGGAAGGACAAGGGCCCAAATGTGTAATATGAGAAAAAAATGAGAATTTAGATGTTTAACCTGAAGAAATGAAATTTCTAGGCAGAGCCTCCCTGGTGGCGCAAGTGGTTAAATATCAGCACTATGAAGCTGTCAGCAGCCACTTTTGATCCCCAGCCAGGGAGCTGACCTATAAGGTGCAGCAGACCTCTCATCTCCCCCACTGCTCCACTCAGCAGTGTACTTCAGTGGCTCTGCCTGTTCGGTTCCCCACTCTGTCGCTGGTGAAGCCTCACACTCCCCACATCTGTGGGCCATACCCAGTTCTTCTGCATAAAAGGAAATAAAAGAAACTCTTAGCATAGAACTACAGCTGTCAGGGGGCACTAGCCCATAGACTCGGGTATGAATAAGGTCCCCCCACACACACCCAGACAGGGAGTAGGTCTCATGCAGGGGCTGCCCAGTAAGCATTGCTGGAGGCCTCTGAGTATAAGGAAGCAGAGAGGAGCACAGGGCCCGGCCACTGTCAAGGGGTTTATTTAATTAAGTGGGGTGGGACTACTTCTCTTCCATCCTTAAGAGTAAATGAAGTAAACCTAAAAAACATTTGCTAACGCTGACAAATACTCCTTGGCACTAATATTAGCAAATCATTAATATCTTAACATTTGTCAATCTCCAACAACTTGCAGGGTCACATATACAGATTTAAGTATCATCCCTCCATCTGTTTGCCTTCTGTAAAAGCACTTAACAATTAATGAATAAAACGTGGCCAGATGTTGAAATAGACAGTGGGTTTAGGCATTTGTGATGTGGCTTCAATTTCTGGCAGCAAACGTGTGTCACTACTGCTCCAGAAAGGAAGCCTCCCCACCTCTCAGCTATGTAACCGAAAGGCCTGCGTGAATTATTAATGTCACCATGATCCAATTACTAGACACTGAACTGCAAATATTAATACATATAATTGAACACTATGCTAAATTTGTTTGAAAAGCAGAATAAAGCTCAAATGAATAGCAGTGTTTTTTTTTTTTTTTTTTCCTGTTGCATGGATTATTTTTACCCTCCACATCACCAGTTATTCTTTCTAGGCTGCCACAGGGGCCATCCTAATTTTATTAGGTCTAGTTACATGGCATTAGATCTCTCAGCAGATCCAGAATGACAGGTGCCCCTTTGAAGATGTTACCTGTTAATAAACTGATCACGGCTAGGCAGTGATGAGTTTCTGTATTAAGTATTTTTGGATGTCACACAGAGTCACCTTTGAGACTCATAGATCTACAGATTTTCATTTTCTGTCATAAGATCTTTCACATTCCGGCTCACTGGTATTTTAACAGATGCCTTTTACTACATTCTTGGCATGAATGAAGAAAAAAAACATGTCATGAAAAGGAATGGCTTCTAGTCAGTGCTCACTCCCGTTAGTTACATGTGCTTTTTAAAATAGTGGGAATAAAGGGGAGAGGCAGATGACCCAGGTAATGGGGTAATAGTGCTCAGCCTCCCCTGTGATGGTGACTTGGAATAACAGCAATGCTCACCGCACAGGCCCCCATGTTCCAGCAATTCCAGGGCTCTGTGTTCTTCCCTCACCCCAACAGGCGGCAGCTTCTCCAGGCCTCATTAGGATAAGTGACTTACAGAGGTGAGCGATTAAGACCATTTTCCTTTTCCATTACATGGTGGCTGGCTGCTTATTTGGAGAAAATCACCCGCCCCTGGGAGGTCTCTTAAGCTTTCCCGCCCCAGACCCTTAGCCATAGATGTGGGGTTTCAGGACCTGCCTCCCAGAGTTCTAAGTCTGTTCTCCTGGAACCAAGAAGGACCAGACATGCTGACACGGCATAGTCCAGATAAAAATACTATTCAGATTGCTCGTCTGAAGTTGGGGTGCATCGACTCCCAGGGTTCAGGGTCTGCACACCCAGCAAACGACCTCATTTTGGGTGTATTTGGATGTGTACTTTTTACAGAGATTGAACCATAATTTTTCAACCCACTTGCAGAATGGGTACGGAAGAGAGGCGTAAGCATTTCTCCCTGAAGCTGTTACCCCTATATAACTGGACACCACACTAAGTTCATTTGAAGGAAAAAGCAAACGGATCATTGTGGGGTTTTCCCCCCTCTACTATGGATTATTTTTATCCTAATATCACCATTTTCCCTATGTGGAATGTGAGATCTGGCAGTTTTGCCCACCTGACTTGACCCAGCTGTGACGGGTTGGAAGGGAATCAGGTGATGATGCCCTTTGCCTTCTCTCAGCCCAGAGGGCACCACCAGCTTAATGCCCCTGTTACCCCCTTGTCCCTTATGTTAAGCCCCAAACACTTCTTGAGCCTCCTTGGGTCCCTCGGCCCTTATCCTTTCCAGGGTTATCAGAGGTAAAACTGTGCCTTTGCCCTTGATCTTGTCACTGCTTGCCCAGGCGCATCACTTTCCCCTCATCCCAGTGAAAAAAACCCAAAAGTTGCCTACTATCTCCTGCCCTCGCCTGGGCTGGTGGGTCTGTACGCCTGCACCCAGCCGCGGATCTCTTTCCCTTGAGCTTTGCTGCGCCCGTACTTACCTGGGCCCATGCACAGCAGCAAAAGCAGCGTCAGCACGCCCAGGGCCAGGACGGCGGGCCGCGCGGAGGAGGCAGGCATTGCTGCACCGTGGGCAGGCAGAGAAGCGCTAGGCTAGAGCTGAGCTGCAGCAGCGAGCTGAGCGCTCAAGAGAGTGGGGCGCGGGCGGGTCCTCTTTTCATCCCTGTCTGGGCTGAACCCGCGGGGCTGGCGCGCAGCCGAGGGGCTGCACGCCAAGAGGCTGCCTCAGGTGCCCAAAGTCTGGCGCTCACACGCCTCGACGGGACCTCAGTTCCCCGGCTTCAAGGCCAGGCCGCCCAGGATCCCTGAGCCGGGCACAGCCTAACTCGCGAGGGCAGCCCAGATCGGGCAGCCCAGATTGGGGCAGAAGGCATCCAAAAGGGAAACCTCCTTTGGCCAGAGGAAGAGAGGGGATTTGGCTGCCCTGTCCCAGCTCCGGTCTCGCCCTCTCTCCCTTCCTCACCCGCGCGCTCGCCCCAACCTGGCTCCCTGACTGCCCCGCTGTCTCCTCTTTGGCACCAACACTTGCCTTCCTCCCCCACCTTGCTCCTTCCAGCACAGGGCCGCTCTGCCTTGGCTTATAAAGTGGTCTCTGGTATTTCCTCCATTCCCCACATTGTACTTAGTGATGCCGCTGGCAATGCTGTGTTTAGTGATACGTTAAAAGATTTCACAGTCTGGGTTCAGAAATGCAGTCCTGGAAAACATCTCCCTCCAAGCTACTCCTATACAGCAAAGTCTTTCAGAAAGCAGGAGCAGGTAATTCTGTTGGGCTTTGTAGAACAAATGCATCCTGGTGCTCTTGTAATCCAGGTACATTTCATGAAACTAATGAGAGGCTGGAGAGTTAAAACTGCTCTCAGTACTAGCCTCTTCCAATCCAGAGGATGAATAAAAACGTGCGCGGTGGTGTGGAGAACTAACTGACCTTGAGCAGCTGCTCTAGTTAATGTGTGGGCGTGGTCTACAAAAGGAGCTCCAGGTGAAGCTACCTTCAGGGACGTTTCTATCCTGACGAGCTCTGAGCTCCCTGCTTACCTCTTTTCCTCATCTGACTTGTCACTGTTTGATGCCTCCCAGTGCTAAGTGCTAACCACCTTCTCACCATATAATTCGCTCTCCATCAATGCAGTTGGACTGGGCAGATGGTGAACTAGAATGGAGCCAAGTGTGAGCTGGGTCTAAGGAAGCAATGACTTGGACAGCACAATGTGCCAGATTCCATCCTGAAGAAGACAGGCTGCACATCAAAGGACGGTAGGGAAATGTTTATAAACCCTTAGGGAAAAAGCAGTAGGGGTAGGATTTTAAAAAGCAACTAAAAATCCATTTGCTTTTGTCCAAGGACCAGATTATTATTAAGGAAGAAGATTAAAGCAAGTAGAAACCAGTGCTCTCTTTGGGTTGGTTCAGGATATACATTTTAGGTAATAATTGTGATGATGTTTTTATCTTCTAGAGACTGATGGAGGGAAGAATAGAAAGCCTAAGGAGGCACCAGGAGACTAGCGCAGAATCCAGAAGGAGGTGGGGGTAGAGGAGATTAACAGGAACATTAGCCCAGCTATGGAAATCAAGATCCTTAGGCACAAGACCTGCATGGGTATCAGACTGTTGTAGGGAGTGTCCCGAGCACAGACCTGAGGGTACACATAGGGAGATTGAGCCCACTGTGGAATCTCCTGGTCTCTTTCGGATTCTGCTGTCCAAAATCAGCAACAATCTAACCATTCATAAGGCGTGAGCCTCTCCCAGAGAAGACTATGTCAGTACTATCTCCACACCGACAGGGGGCAGCAGTCCTTCCCGCCTGTGCCTGTGCAGGTGCAACAGAACAGGCAGACTGACTGAAATACACTGCTGAGGGGAGAAGCAGGAGGGAGAGGAGAGGTCTGCTGCTTCCTTGTGGGTAAACTCCCTGATTGGGGGTTGAACTTGTGCTGCAGTGACTGTGGATAGCTTCAAAGAGCTGCTTTTTAACTCCTTGCACCATCAGGGAGACCCACTTAAGTAAAATTTTTCTTGAAATGTAATATATAATAACAACAGTCAGGAAGTCACTTTATCACTCCGGGACTCCTTGCCCCTTCCAGACACCCCCTCCCCCAAATATAACATCATAGTTTGGGGCAATTCTCTTTTAAAAACATTCTACTGGTATTTTATTTTCACTTCCTTAAAAAGAAAAACATATTCAGAAAATAAAAACAAGTTACCAATAGGTAAACAGTAAATCATACAGGGAAATACTGAAAGTGTGAAACCCAGGACTGTGTATTTAATCCAATAAGAAGACAAAATATCTGGCCATGGGATGGACTTCATATTAAGATTGCTAGTTTTTTAAGGTGAAAGTAGTTTCATGGTGTATTTCTAAAGTACTTATTTGTTAGAACTTTATACTGAAATATTCCTGGTTAAACTGATTTAAGGTATGAGATTTGCCTTAAAATACAGCAAAAGAAAAGACTAGCAAATAGCAATAATTCTACTTAATTAGAAAGCCATTGCTTTAAGGCCCAGCCCTGTGATGTGTACAATATTATTATCAGTTTATGTTGACAAATTTCCATAATAAAAGTTAAAAATATATTGAATCTTAGTGACACTTCATTACTGGAAAACATAAAGCATACACATGACCTTCAGAATCTCTAGTCTTTAAAGACACACTGGTTTTGGTTTTCCTTGTACTGACTATAGGTAGCCCAGTGTCTCCAACATTCAATGCCTGAATATGATCTCTGCTCTATCATAGCTCCATAGCTTTGCCTACAACATCCCCACTCTGGGGTGGCACTGACGCTTTTCCTTGCTAGTGGAAACCCTGCTGTTTCAGTTGACTATCTCTGTGGGCCTCTGCTCCTGGGCCTGAGTGGGTTAGCTGAGCCAGCTGAGGTGTTCTACTGGAGTGCTTACATGTAGACTCTCCAACATGAGGCTCTCACAGCACAGGGAGGCTCAGAGCTACCAGAGAGAGTATTCCATGATCAGCTAATCCAAAAGACAAGAGGAGACCGACAATCTTAGGGTCATGGTTTGGAAACAGACATGAATGGATACTACAGTATTCTGCTGGTCACAGAGCCCACCAGCATTCCAGGGATGGAGGTTCCGTTTCTAAATAGGAGCATGTCAAAAATCTGTGATGACTTTGCCAAAGCCCAACTTTGAAGTCCAAGCTCTTCCAAGATACTTCTCCTCTGTACCTTTTTTGGGCCAAGCACACATTCTCCTTTGAAATTCTGCAACCTGTCCCTTCCCCCTAAATGTTTTCTCATTCTCTCTTGCCTTTGTTTGTATACCTTATTCCTCTGTCTCCATGGATTTTAAGCTCAATTTGCTTTTTTTTTATTACTCCACAGAAATAAACATTCAATAAACAATTGATGAATGAACCAATGTTGCTATCCAAAAGTAAATCTGTGATTACAAAGGTCTTATAGAATGTGACCGATTTCTCTGTCTGTTTTTTATTTCAAGTTTGATATTATAAAAGCATATGTTACATATAACAGAAGCTCAGAGCAACAGCCCAGTAATAATAAGAGCATTGCATAGCGAGAACCCTGCTAGATGCTGGCTAGAACAGGCAAAGCTGTTCTCCTACACACTAGCACTGGCAAGCACAGGGTTAATTTTCAGTGGGGTCACCCAAAATTCCCTTCCTGTTTATTAAGCAAATTTCCATATTGGAATTTTAATAACTTTTGCCATTACAAATAACAAACTGAAGTGAAGTCAGAAAAATTGGAAAGTTTCCTTTCAGTCTAAAAAAAAACAGAAACACAAAGTCTTTATTCTATGCAGCACTGGCTCCCTGAGAGGCTGAGCAGGGCACCCAAAAAGGTGCCTGGAACCCAGGACTTCATGGGAAGACATCACCCCTCAGTGAAGGTGGAATTTAATCCAATGGGGGGGGGCCTAGAGACAGCCAAAATGTCTTGAAGAAATAGTCTTTGTATCCTTTAGGGGCCTCAGTGAAAAGAGATGATACTGCTAAGGCAGAATAACATGCTGAATGAGGCCATTTCCAGTTTCTTCATACCTTGAATTTGCAACATGTTAACGGAAAAAGAGCCTGACAGGTGAGGAGACAGCAAAGCCAAAGTCCAGAAAGATAGCATGGCTACCCATGCTAGAAAATCCGATTCACTTTCACCAGATTCCTTTGTTATTGGGTCACAGGGAATTCTTCATATAAAATCCAACCAACAGGCACTCGCCCGCTTCGACATGACATCTGGGTTTTATGACAGGAGCTCGCAGCCCCAGGGTTTACGGCTACCTGCCTTAGGGTGCCACGTGCAAAGCCAGAGGCCTGTGGTGTGAGTTGAGCCCATTAACCCCTGTTCTTTAGTTGTTAGCAGTGTTTATAAAGGCAAACCTGGTCTCTTGGCCATTGTCCACCGCACACACTACGTCCTGTATGTCACGGACTCCCCATCTTCCACATTCCCCTCCTCCGAGCTTGCCACAGCCCCTGCCCACCTTTTGCCTTCCTTTGTTTTTCTACTCCCTCTCCTGCAACTTCCCCTTCATTCACATCAGCCCTAATAATATTAGCAATATTGATGTGAATTCATAAAGGATAAGTATAAGGAAAATAGCTTCATTTCGCTCTTCGTGGGTTGTGTTGCTTTAGAGAGAGGAAAAAATAGTAGCATTACCTGTAGAACTATGGCTATGGGGACATCACTCTCAGAGTGGGATGAGCTGGGGGAGGCCACAGCCCTGGTCAGCTGTTGGCTTTGTGGTGGCACCCCTCCTTTATTCAAAGCTAAGTGACCGAGGAAGCCAAGACAGTTTGCCCTAATTCCCAATACCGTTTCATGTACATGGAATGACCATAAGTAAGTGCTTATTCCTTATCAATATGGCGGTCTGCCACTCATACTTGTCTTGAGGCCCTGAGTCTCACTGTGCCAGGTGACCTCCCACATGGTCACCTTCAGGTCCTCGCCACACTTACTCTGTTCATGGGAAATTCTTCCCCTTAACCTAGACTGACCGTGGGACTGCTGGGACTAATGGTTTGCGTCAGCAAACCACAGACTACAAATCAAGTCTGGGGTGCAGCCTGTTTCTGCAAATAAAGCTTTACTGG